ATTTGTAGTCAGGACAAGACAATGTGCATTGCAATCACCTTGTTTAACTTTAAAACAACTTTCCACTTACTCTTCCATTCTCAGAAAGGCTGATCACCCTGCATCTAGCTAATCAACAGGATCTGAGATAGGGCCTGTGTATAGTATAGTATTTTGTTACATTGGTTTCTAAATCTGAATCATTTGCTTACAAGCCCTGGAGTTACTTGAGAATTTCCTTCAGTGAAGCGACTGCTTTCCATCATTCCAAGTGTGGTTTATCCTGTAGAAACCCTGTTTGAATAGGTCTCTGCTCGCTGTGAGCACTCCACTGAGACACACTGTTGTTTAAGACCAGAGGGGAGGGAAGCCGTGAGGAGTCAGCAGCTGCTTGGGGTTTTGTATCATCCGGGTAACAGAGTATTCATTCCAGGACACCATGCTGATTAATGCAGATATAAGTAAAATATTTTTTCAGGTTTCCTTATGGCTCTTCCATTTATTAAATAACCATGAGGTAATGACAGTGCAGGCAAGTTTTAATGTAATAATTTACATGTTTTCTCTTTTGAATCTTAAACCAGGTGTGAAAATCACATCGACCCTGCAGGTGTTAAAGCTCATCAAGCAGGCTGGGGACCGAGTCCTGGTGTACTACCAAAGACCCGTCGGTCAGGGTAACCAAGGGGCAGTGCTGCAAGACAGTCTGGGCCAGCTGGAAGAAAACTTCCTATCAAGCACCTGCCAGCCATGTTATGAGGAGGAAGCTGCAGGGTTGCCAGTGGATACTGAGAATAGAGACCTGGACTCTGAATTTGAAGACCTGGCAAGTGACGCCAGAGTGCAGACAGAGCTGAAAGAGGAGGCACAGCCGTCAAGTCACAGCCCCAGACGCACGCCATCAACACTCTCCATTAAACCCCTTGGCGCTATATCCCCAGTTTTAAATCGAAAACTAGTTTCAGGAATCCATCCACCACCACAGAAACTTGCATCTAAAGAAGGAAATAAACCATCAGCTCTAAAAGCTTCAGAGTCCACGGAAGCAGCACCCGTGTCCAAACCCCAAGGACCCCCTTTCAAACCACCCGTGCCACCACGACCACAGGTGAAAATTCCTCTGCCTTCCACTGACGCCCCCACTCAGGCAGACCCAGAAGCTGCTGAAAAGCCAGAGAAGGTGCTGCCCCCTCCTCCTCCGGCAGAGAAACCCACCGAAAAGCAGGGGAGGAGTGTGGATCACCCGGAAGACATGGCAGCAGGGAAGTTGTCCTCAGCAAAGCCAGAACTGGGGAAGGACCTTCCTGCAGAAAGTTGTGGGCCTACTAAGGACACTTCAGACGACCATCAGATGTGGGAATCGTCAGAGGTTCCTTATCGTAATAAGGTAGGAAAGTGGTCAAGGACCAGAGCATCCTGCTTGTTTGACATAGAAGCCTGCCACAGGTACCTGAACATTGCGCTCTGGTGCAAGGATCCTTTCAAGTTAGGAGGCCTCATCTGTTTGGGTCATGTTAGTTTAAAACTTGAAGAGGTGGCTTTAGGATGCCTAGCTACATCAAACATGGAATACCTTTCAAAGTTTAGACTGGAAGCCCCTGCTCCTAAGGCTATGGTCACTAGAACTGCACTACGCAATCTGAGTATGCAAAAGGGCTTCAATGACAAATTTTGTTATGGTGACATTACTGTTCATTTCAAATATTTGAAGGAAGGAGAACCAGATCACCACATAGTTCCTAATGTAGAGAAAGAAAAAGAACTCCATTTGGGTGAGGAAGTTGCTGCACTCCCTAAAGAGGAGCATTTTGTGGGACAGATGAGTTTGTCAGAAAATAAACATAGTTTCCAAGATACGCAGTTCCAAAACCCAACTTGGTGTGATTACTGTAAGAAAAAAGTCTGGACAAAAGCTGCTTCCCAGTGTATGTTCTGTGCTTATGTTTGTCATAAAAAGTGTCAAGAAAAGTGTCTAGCTGAGACGCCTCTTTGTGGAGCAACTGAGAGGCGAATAGACCGTACACTGAAAGCCCTCAGGCTGGAAGGACAGGAACCTCTCATGGGCCTTCCTCCTCGTGCTGAGATGGAAGCTAACAAGTCAGTTCATAAAACAACAGGTTTGACAAGGCACATCATTAATACTAGCTCTCGTTTACTAAATCTGCGTCAAGTCTCTAAAACTCGCCTTTCTGAACCAGGAACAGATCTTGTGGAACCATCACCAAAGCACACACCCAACACATCGGACAATGAAGGCAGTGATACAGAGGTGTGTGGTCCCAACAGTCCTTCCAAACGAGGACACAGTGCGGGAATAAAGCTAGTGAGAAAGGAAGGGGGGCTGGATGACAGTGTTTTCATTGCAGTTAAAGAAATTGGCCGTGATCTGTATAGAGGCTTGCCAACAGAAGAAAGGATCCAAAAGCTAGAGTTCATGCTGGATAAACTGCAGAATGAAATTGATCAGGAGTTAGAACACAATAATTCCCTTGTAAGAGAAGAAAAGGAAACAACTGATACAAGGAAAAAATCCCTTCTTTCTGCTGCGTTGGTTAAATCGGGTGAAAGACTACAAGCTCTGACACTTCTGATGATCCACTACAGAGCAGGCATTGAAGATATTGAAACCTTAGAAAGCCTGTCTTTGGACCAGCACTCAAAAAAAATAAACAAGTACACAGACGATACAGAAGAAGACCTTGATAGTGAAATAAGCCAACTGATAGACTCTCAGCCATTTAGCAGTATCTCGGATGACTTGTTTGGCCCATCTGAGTCTGTGTAACAAACTATTTAAACTTTCGGTGGTTGGGGACAAAATGCATCTGGAATGCCACTGGAACAGCCATGTTTCAGTTCTCTCAAAGGTGCACTTTGGCCTGCTTCTGCAGTTAGTTGCTTGTAAAGAATGAAAGATGGTTTTCCAGCAGAAACATGACGAGCTCACCAAATTGGCTGTTTGGGTTGTGCTTATAGTTAATGGTTTGGGGGTTTATACTGGGAATTGGGTTTTATTAATTTATTTTTAACCTTTTCTAATTATGTAAGCTAACTTTGTGTTTATGAATGTGCGATGTCTCACTGTCATTTTTTTTTTCCTTTCCTCCTGGTTTTTGAATTAATGTTAAGTCAGATGCTGTCCAGAGTCCTGAAATGTTTTCATTCTCATTTTCATCACGGTTCTAGCAGCAAATTTGTTGCATTCCTAAATTGACAACAGTGATCACTGAGGGAGCAGGTTTGAGTCTTCTTTCTCCTGTGCTGTGAGGTCTGTCAGCTGCACTTGCTTGAGGTTTTCGTTATTTAGGGTTTGGGGGATTTTTTGTTTTGTTTTCTTTTGTTGTTGTTGCCAAATATAAATGAAAGCAGACCCTACAGCTTTAAAAATGTTATGTTGATTTAGTTTTTTTTTTTTTACATATATTGCTTGCTTCTTATACTTCTGTGATATTTTTAAGGTTTTTATGCAGTTGAATGAAGTATAGTAAAATTACAGTAATTAGCTAGAGGAAGTTGTATTGAATAGAGGATAAATGCAAAATCTAGTTGGTTAAGAATTTTGTAGATTGGATAACAGGATTTTATTACTGAAGAACAGTAATCAGAATTTTGAAATATCTTTCAAATGTTGATGCTTTCCTTTTAAATGGAAGTTATGAACACTCGTGATGAGTTTTTCATCTTTGGTTCTCCTATAGGAAATAAAGCATGTGCAAGGATATTTAAAGTTTCACAGGACTTGTTCTGACAATGGCTGCATTGATAACTGGCTTTGTTTGAAAACAAAAATTAACTTAGGAATATGGTGTGGAGGGCAATTATACAAAATGTTTACTACATCATTTGGTGTCTTGTGGCCTTAAAGGAATGTCAGGCATTCTGAATACCTTAGTAGTTTAGACCATCTTCATTTATTGTAAAGAAAAATAAAAATAGACAGTGTACATAGGCCTTGGGACTAGTTCTTCAAAATGAAGGCCTGCTGTGGCACTGGGTTCATCTAAAGGATGCTGGCAACACACAACTGAGAGAAATATGTGAGCTTGACCCCTATCGATGTATCTTTAAAAGCCTGAGCCTGTTATACCTGTAGAATAGAATTCCCTTTTACAGTAACTACTATGCTAACACATAAACCAACTGAATTTAAAACTATGGAACAGCTCTTTGGCTGCAGGAAAATTCATAGTATAATAGTAAAAGACTGGCCCATATGTAGCCCCAACTCCACCAGGAGTTTAAGATCAAATGCTTTTAGTGAGCTCTGCAGCCATGAGCACGTTACAAAGGGTCACACAGCTTCGCCATCTCTGAAGGTACCTTCTCTACCTCACGGGGCTGTTGTGAGACAAACAGGAGCATCACTGAAAAAGCACTTTGAACAGACAGTAAAAATAAAAGTTATTACTTACATAAGCAAAGCATTGTTGAGTGTAGACAGTTATTACAGTTTTAAACTCAACAGCTAACTCTCATCCCTATTATTAAATGAAATATTAGGACACTAGAACACAAACCTGTCTTTGCCAGATTTATAGAAAAGACTGTATCTGTGTAATCTCCACCCCACCCCCTGCTTTTTTTAATTGTTTATTTAAGCATGCTCACAATTCAAAAGAACAGCACAACAGAAAACTTTCCACAACAAACCCCAGAAGCTAAAATGTTGTCCCGCATCTTATGCTTGAAACAGTCTGCCTGATATAGAGCCATGTTTCATCTTGTAAACAGTAACTTGCCATTACTACTGAAGGTGATGTGTCTGTAAGTGGCTGGTGTGCTTATGGATCAAACCATGGAAGTTTCAGTGGTGCCCAAGCATGCTCCTGCACTGATCCATTTGAAAGAGCTGTAGAAATAATGCAAAGCTTTAGTTCTGAGAATCTACTCGTGCTTTAAAGTATTTATCTCTGTAGAACCACAATCATGGAAAGCTCAACAGTGCTGCTAATGGTGTTTGTAAAATAGACCTTTAAATGTAGTGCAATATTTTTCTATTGGGAGAGACAGTAGAGGCTTCTCAGTTGTACGTTAGAGCAGGGAAGGAGGGGAAACTCCAAATATCCTAGAGCATAGTAAGGGATAAGGCTTCAGTTTAAAGGTTGTATTATATTACATTACTCATGTAATCTTGCTGCCATGCTATGTTATCAATAGCTAAACTAATAATAAAGACTACCAAGGAAAATAAGAATATCTTCATTTGATGGCATCTGCAAACATGGTGATTGGTTCATCTCTGTGGCATTAGCCTGGTGTAATTTGGCCATGCAGACAAGCTAACAATCCACTTTTACTAAACAAATTTGCAAAAGCATTCAAATTTTTACTGTTGCTTCCTTACCTTTTGAAATAGAAATATGGATTTTTTTCTAATGCTATATGATAAGTAGATTTTATTCATAGTGAGACCTGTCTCAGGAAAGAAAAATTAGACTATTTAAAGTGTATTCTCTTCATTGGTATTTAGCTAAATGGCTGGGATAGACAAAATGAGCAACATTTTACTATTGTTTTACAATCATAATATGCTATGTTTCTTTTTTATTTCTTGTGTTGGTTTTTTTGAGATAGAGTCTCTCTCCATAGGTCTGGCTGTCCTGGTCACTGTAGAGATCAGGCTGGCCTCGAACTCAACAGATATTGCCTGCCTCTCTGCCTCTGGAGTGTTGGGATTAAAGGTGTGTTCCATCATGTCCAGCTGTACTGGATTTCTTAGTATCAAACTTCATTCAGTAATACTATAACTTGTGTAGATACTGTCCTATTCCAAGAAAAAGAGCAGCCTAAGGCTTTGAGAGTAAAGTCTATCTTTAAAAAAAAAAAATTAAAGGCATTTGTAACATATTTGGTTCTAATAGTAAGACAATAGAATATAAAATTTTAAGTCCTCTAAAGCAAGTTTGAAATCATTTCAATTTTTAAAAGATGTATTGTCTTAATTTCTAAATTGAGGTAATGGCTTTCCTTATCCCCTCCCCCCAAAAGCAAATAATGGTGGAAAGGGGATTGGTTCCTTCATCTTGTTTGGTCCCTTGATGTTCCTTAAGGTATGAATAAAACAGCAGGCCCCCCTAGTCCTGGGAACTATCCTACTCAAAATGATCCTAATTTCTACATCTTGCAGGGCCTGTTCTGTCAAGTGGCTAGGTGTTCAGGGTAATTATCTGTTCACAGCAATTAGAACAATATTTGAGGTGAAGTCCAGAGAAACTCACTGTTTTCTCCACACTGATAGATTATAACAAGTCATATGTTTCATTTAAAACAAACAGTGGAAAGCCAGAGGACGGTTCACCCTAGTCTGGAGTGACTTTTGCCTGATGCCTGCAAGCACAGAGAATGCTTTTTAATTAAATATCTACAGCCAAAACAATGTCTGTGTATTTTATTCCAACAATGTTGGTGCAGTGGTTTATAAAAGAATACAGGCAGGCACAGCACAGTGTTCAACAAGATTTATTAAGTAATCTAACTAAAAAGTACAACCAGGACAGATACACTTAGCAGTCAAAAGAAAGTTGAGTATCCATTGCTACCTCACTAAAATTTTTGTGTCTGAATTACCAAGTACAAACAAAAACCACCTCTACTTTCTAAAAGCGATCAGAGAGCTGTAAGTTCTTTTTCTGGTACATGCACGGTATTAAACACCCTATTTTCATTCTTGTGTACCCAGAATATTAGTCATATAAATGTCTTTACTTTCCCCTTGGGAACAAGTTATCTTTTGCTCTCCAAACAATTCTAAACAGTTTTATCTTTTCCCTGGAGTTGAGTGACTGGCATGCCTTTGCTGATTGTTCTTGTGAACGCTCAAAAGTAAAACTGACATCAGCATCAATTATTGTATATGGTGTTGTGGGCAAGGAAAAGGTACAAGCCCTCTCTAACCACACTACTTCTGAAACTGTCCTGGAGAAGTATGTGTTCTGCCCTTTGATTTTAGTCACATGAGAGTCCTCTACAACCATCTTTCAGAGTTGCAGACCTGTGTGACTATCCAGTAGTTTAATGAGTAGGAAGCCCATTTCCCTCAAACACACCAGATTTCAAATCACCAAGGTGTCACAGAAAGTTTCATAAAGCAAAAGTAGTACTAGCCACTTTCCTAAAGAATATGTAATAGCCAATAAGTTTGAGGGGTTATTATCCTAAAGTTCTCTTAATGCCCAAAGTCACACAAACACAATTAAGCTTAACAAAACTTACAGGTATTTTTTTTTCTTATAATTACACAGCTGCAGAATTAACACATACAATTTGAGACATTCCATAGTGTGTATATTCCGGAAGGTTGTAATCTCATACAAAGCAATTATAGATAATGGTCACTAATAATATTATCTGGCACACTGAAAAGGTATATCAGTGTCATCATGCTTAGAAAAATTATTCTACCCAGCACACAAGATGATACAGTAACACATACATATTTGTAGATTTTTTTTCTGCTTCAAAAAGGGAAAGTGTCCTGACCACCCTATTATCTTTCTTAACATAATCATGTTAGACATAATTTCATTCCTTCATCTTTGTTTGAAATTCATTTCTACATTATATGAACAACTTTTAGGAGTCTAAAGAGAAATAACAGCAACTCAAAATGAACAAATGTAGAAAAACACTTGGATGACCTGCAAGCAGGTGAGAGGTGTAATCTGATTTTTCACATAGCAGCTTGATAGCCTTGTTCCCTTTTCCAAAACATGAACTAGGTTTGATAAATCATACCATGCTTAACCTTGCCATTGTATAAAGTGCATACTTGATTTTCACCCAGCAAGACCAAGTACATATCTGTCAAAGAAAGCAACATTTGAGTTCTCTGCTTTCAGAACATTTACTTTTTAACCCCTGGATGGCTTTAATGATTGCTGCCAATGATATGACACAGAAAACAGAATTTGCAACCATCCCTTTCCAGGTGGGTGGTCATAATAGAAAACTAATGCCAGCAAAGGTTTATGAGTAAGTTTGGAAGATGGCTGACACAATGTCTTGTCCTCTGCGCTTGAAATGACTCGCTTGTAACTCATAAATACACTGATACTAATTACAAGTTAAATAACAGCACATTCAGTGTTGCTACCTAATGGCACTGTCTTACATGATCTGTTTCTCAGACTTCTAGTTTCTTGTTGGAGAGTCTCAGATAATGTGTGCTTTAAACACTCATTACCAGTATTCAGAAAAAAAATATAGGATTTTTTTGTCCAAGTGTTTGTGAATGTAAGTTAAAAAATTATATTTGATTTGGATTCAAATATTTATACATTTACAATATACCTATTTCGTCAAAATATATTGTATAATATTTAATAAAATCAAATACATAAAATAAAGTTTTCAACACTATTTATACAAACCCCTAGAAAAGCTGCTTTTTCTTTATAAGGCTGTTGGCAGTCGATCATAACCATGGAAAAGAAAGTATCACCTTTGGTTGTTTTCCTCTTTGCCAGGAATGGATGGTGTGACTAAGACAGCTCCACAGGAGTCAGTTCACT